CTTGCTGCTGGCTTTCACCAAGGTTCAGAGCCTAGTTGCTTGCTTGCACTAAAGGATTGGCTTCCCTTCTGGCTTGTACTGGGGATGGGGCCTCCCTGTTGGCCTTCCCTGGGTGTAGGGCCCTTTTGCTGTGTTGCTATGGAAACAGGGTCTCCCTGCTGGAGGGTAGGTCTGGTCTTGCTGCTGGCAGGTTCTAGGATTGGGTCTTACTGTTGGCCAGTACTGAGGAGGGGTCTCACTACTGGTTAGTAATGGGTTTGAGGCCTAGCTGGTGGTCTGTGCTTGGGGTAGTGCTGCTGAGGTGGGGCCTTGCTTTGCTGTACAGACTGCCAACTTGCCCAGGGGGCTGCTGGCTTGCAGGAGGGTGGGGCCTCTTTGGTGGATTGCCCCAAACTTGGATCCTTGCTGCAGGCTTCCTGCTTTGAGGGCAGAGAATGCTGCTACACTGAGATCTTGAGCCCTTTCTAACTCAGTGAGACAGACCTTTGTTGCTGTGCTAATAAGCTGCTTCCCTGCTCCTACATCAATTCTGAGGCAGTTTTTAAGTTGTTTGGAGAGGAATTTGGGAGGGCTTCAGGCAGTTTCTTCACTCCACCATCTTTGTACTAGAAACCCTTGATGTATCTTCCATGGAAAGATTATAGGATGTAGATAAGAACCACACAGGGTAAAAAGCCATAAATGTGAGGTAATTTGCCCTGGGGGACCCACATTGATAAGATCATGGTTTTATCCATATATTAATGGATAGGCCTGCAGAAAAGTCTTAGTTGATCATGATATGGAGGTAAACTTGGGTTCTTTATGTCCATGCCTCTGGAGCTCACATTCTAGCAGGTTTAACTAAACTGGGAAAACTTATGTATGGGATGTTTTTGCTGTCTGAACACTAGCTTAATATTCCTAATAGATCACTGAGAAACTCATCACTAGAAGTTTAGAAGCTAAGTGATAAATTCTTTGGCTAGGTAAATCCACGAAACAAGTGATATTGTGCATATACTGAAATCATGAAGGATTATGTAGACAACAATTCTTTCTACTGCTATTTCCTATTTACTCTTATTTCTACCCCACGTTGGACCCACTCCACTCTAAGAGTTCATTAGCTTTTTATACTCTATGTTTTGGAACGCTACTTCTTTTTTAAATACTTCTTTACATGTAATTTAAAAAAAAAAATCCTCCTGCCTCCTCCCATTAACTGAAGCTGGACTTTCTTCTGAGCTTGAGAGTTTAAAGACATAACAATTCTGAACAACTTAATAAGCATGTAATAAATTCCTTCTATACTCAGAATACTTGATTAGGTGCCGAGGGCTTCCTTCTCCCACAGAGCTCAGAGTCTGACAAGAACATATAACATATACACAAATAATTATAATATAAAATAATATTGATAAGTATAATATATGTACTCACAGCTAAATCTGACCAAAATTCATTCAGGAGAAACCTGTACTAGAGAAGACATACTTTTTAGGAGTATCTAGAAATCAAATTTTAAGATACTTCAAATAGAAAGCAATTTCAAAAGATGAAAAAGATCATGCTGATGGTTATGAATTGTAAATTGTGGAAAATCAAAATTTCAGATGATTCAGAGTTGTAGGTCACTTAAAGGTCAATGGAAAGAATCACTCAGAAAGAATAAATTATTCAGCCAGCCCTTCTTATTTTGTGTAGATAGCTATATCTTTCCATAAGTTCTCCATTGAACATGTACCCAAGACACTGGAGGCCTTCCTGTAGTATAAATATACTACAATATACATTTGTGACTTCAAGTGTTATCCTTCCTGACGCTGGGGAATATAAATTAATTGATATTGCTTACTATAGAATATATATATGTGCATGTACACATTTATGTAAATACCTAAAGTTTTTTTCTTCTCTCTTATTCTTTGTATTTGAGAGGTTACTATCCTTCCTTATGAAATCTAAATTAGTGTTTCATATCTAGAATTCAAGTGGAAAAAGTTATAAGCAATTTTTTTAAAAGATTTTTGATCCTCACCCTTATAGAACAGCCCAAGGCCAACCTCTGGGCTCTTGCTAAGTAATTTGAGAGTCAGAAATCCCAAGGAAGATTCATTCTGATATCACTTGTCTATAAGACCTATAAGTATTAATTTTTCTCTTCCTTTCATTCCTAAAACTAATCTCCCCTTATTTTCCCTATAATAACTTCATAGATGTGTCCATCTGGACCCCAAAGGCATCATAACACTTAATATCATAGATAGAATCTTCCACATCACCTTTGTTAGCTAACCTTAAGCAAATCAGGAAAACATTCTTCTCTCACACTCTCATTCCTTTCAATGAATTAATTACACTCAGAAATTCCAAAGTATAGATCTGGAAATAGAGTCAACAGAAAAGATCTTGCTCTCTATTAATCACCATTGGAACCCTTAAAAATGGAGGGCATGTTTCTATACCAGAGAAGGGAAATATATACAGAAAAGAAAAGCTAGGAAATTATTTTTGAACCTGACATTCTAATTGCAACCCAGAAAACTACAATGCCATCACCCAACCTAGACGAAGATTTGGAGGCACACAGTGTCTGATGCCAGGATCTAGTGAGTTGTAAAGAATATCCTTTAATAAACTTCTTTTAGACACATAAGTCTTGTACATGACCTTTATTCTCCCCTCTTTAGAGTGCAGATGGTAGGTAACCACATATTTCCTCATTTGAAATGTCATTTGCTGCCAAATGAAGGAACTGAAATGTATAGGAGAAATTAATCAGATCTTCTTTCTTATTTTTAAATTCCTCAAACTCAGAGAGCCCTCACTTCAGTTCCTGTAGTGAATGGCCCTAATTTAGTAGGTGTTCCATTTCAATACCAAATTACATATATAACTCATTGTTTGCCTGAGGTAATATAAATCACCTATTGTCACATAGGTAGGAAGTGTCAGAGGTTGCATTGAGAAATCCCTTACTCCAAGTCAATCTATCAACAGGCAAGCATTTATTAAGTAATTACTATATGCCAGGTATACTTCTAGGTGCTAGGAACATAAATATAAATGTGAGAGAGTCCCTGCTCTGGAATACTGCTAGAGAGGAAAGAGAAAACACCTTAGTATCATTTGAAACCATTCTCACAGTTGGTCATTGGCCAAAGGGCTTTTCTTATTCATGTGGTAAGGGAAACAGAGACAGTTTGGTGCTAGCCCTGAATCAGAGAACAGGGCCCTCAATTTACAAGTCATCTTATCTTTCTGGAAGCAGTTTTCCTAGTTTTTTCAGTTTGGGTTGCCGGTAGAAGGCACATCTTGATGCACAGGCACTTAGGATGGAGTTTCTATTGGTCCTGCCCCCATTACATATGTACCCTTAAAATTTTGGTTATGACATCTCTTTAAATTACCAACTGCTAAGTTTTGAATATCTTTTCTGAGCATGATACCTTTCCATTTAGGAAAAGTTGTTTGTGTAGTGGATCTAAGTAGAAAGAAGGCTTAGGAGTCTTGTCCTGAATTTGAGAATGGAGACATCCCTATGACCAACAAATACAAAAGCTCTACATTTCTTGCACAAATGACCAGAGAGGTAGATGACACCAGAACACTACTGATAGTGAAGTTTCCTAAAAATGTTGCCAAAATAAAAATATAAGCTGTCATGTTGCCTGGTAATCAATTTAAGTATGCTTTTTAATGTACAAACCACCTGAACTGTTTTAATTTTGTTTGGTCCTGTGAATTAATCAGTGTAGGAACCCACTAGTAAAGAATTTCCTCTACCAATGTCATCTGGCCCCTTATCTAACTTAAAATTAATTATATGAAATAAAAAGAAACTGAGGTATAAAGTTTCCAAAACAAACCAATACTCTTATAGACTTGCCTAGAGTCTTATAGTCAATAAGTAACAGAGGCATGACTTGAACCAAGATCTTTCAGACTCCAAGGCTGGCATTTACTACACCAGGCTAATCTGCCTCTAGAGGTGTTTGAATATTGCAGTCAAAAACATTTTCTCTAAGATAAGAGAAAAAGAAATAATGTTTTTTTCTTGTCCCCCAAGGGCAAGTTCTTTAAAGTCTTCTGTGTTTTTAAAGCAAGAATAAGCAAGAAAACATGTTTTTTGAATTGCCTTCAAAATTTTTTTTCACAGCTGAAATAAATTACTTTTGCATGCTTTGTAGCTTTTTCAGAGAACAAACATAGTTTTCTTCCTTCAGTGGGTATAATTATACAATTCACTTTTAATGATAAGACTAAATAAAATCATAGCAAAGGATCAGATTCTCAGGGGTATTCACTCTGAATTTACTGTTACTCTGTAATTACTTTCTATATTTTGGTGGACTTTTGATTACTGGACACTAGGAAAGAAAAAGCAATAGACTGAAAGAAGTAAATCCATGAATTTTTCATGGGTCAATGATTTTTCTCATTTTACTTTCTAACTTTTTCAAGTAGTTTCTTCCATAGTTCGGCCCCACAAATTTAGTAGCTTTAGTAAATTTTAGTAAATTAAAAAAAATTGCATTTATATTTTATTTTCACTCAGTTACCTGTCTTAAATTCTCTAAACAAAAGGTTCAACACAACATCTCCATTCCTGTTTTCTACTGGAAGCCCGAAGAAGATAGAAAGAAGTAACCCTTTCCCCTAATTAATTCTTTGTTTTCTTTGGGTAAGCCCCGGTTTAGAGAAGTGAGCCATCTCCATCTCATAAATATATGCCCAAGGGCAGTATTTTTGCTTTAAAATACAAAGCACTCCGTGCTAAACGGCAGAGCACGGATGTGGGGGGAAAAACTGCTAAAACCTTTGGTAACCTCCAGCTCACCAGTATGTGTCTCACCCCGCCCCCCCGCACAACTCTCCGGCTAGTACAAATGACCCGATTAGAAAGAGTCCTTTCCAAATACCTTATCTCCTGCTCACCATAGCACTTACAAGGTTGTAGCGTCTTTCATGCCTTGGGCCGGGTGTACGGCAGAGGGCGCGGCGTTCAGGATTTTCTTTCTCACTTTCTCTATAGCGGTGTGAGAGTGAGCCCTCCATCCATCCCTCCCCTTCTTCTCCCGTGAGATTTTTCACCTCCCTGGTGTCTCTTCTGCAGTCCTCAATTCAGGACGGGGCTGTGGCAAGGTCGCTGGAGTTGAAAGAGTAGCATCTGGGAGCTGGAGGTCTTGGGGGGTAAAGTTTGGGGAGCATGTATTAGAAAAGGAAGAAAAGTTTCCTTTGAAAACAACTAAATTTGAAAGAACAAGCGGAAAAAAAAAAGCGATTGGTGGCTCCCAACGAGAGCCAACCATCACCGCATGACCGACCCAGTGGAGCAGAAGCAGCAGCCGGAAAAAATTACAGGCTCAGTCTTTATTGCCAAACAACTTCATCTGCATCATGAATAGCAACAAAACAGCCTTGGAGCAGATTGCTGTAACAACTTCAGCAGCCGAAGTTACTAAAAGCAGGGGCAAGTTGGAGAGACAAGGCACTCCTTTGTGTGACTGGAGTGAGGGTGGAGACGCCCCGGCAGCTGCCGGTGCCCCAGGTTCTGCAGGGCAGGGCAGGATCCCCGCCAAGAGTGCGCTGGTAGCCCCAGGCAGGCAGCCGAAGCGGGGGGAGCCGCAGCACAGCATGGCCCGCGCCGGAGAGGCCCAGGGCTTTGAGAAACTGTTGCTTCAGTTGGCGGCTCTCTACGCCATGGCATTTTTGGTGGCTGTTCCACCACTTCTTCAGATGCCTGGGGCCGCAGGTAAGAAGGACTCTCGCTTCTCCTCTGGTTCGGTTCCTCAATGTATCTGGCACGTTTCTTTCTCTCTCTTTGTATACCACTGTACTGAGAGCCTGAAGCCCGACGATGTTGATGCATGGCTCATAGCCAGTAACGTTAGAGATCCTTTTGAATGTTATAGTGCTCGTTCGGTTTTCTGTAGAGAGCCTGTTTAGTGTTTTAAATTGTTTTACCCCCGCGGTGGAAAGAGAGTTGATGCGGGGCGGGGGGGGGGGGGGGCGTAGCGGTCTGCCTGAAGGGCGAAAAAGGAGGGAGGCTTTTCCCAACTTCCTATAAGAAATATGGCCGGCACTCTGTCAAAATGTGTGCAAGAGCCAGGGTAAGAGTGAGTCTCGACTTTTTCAGTGCACCCCCAAGCCCTACTCTGGCGAGTCTCTTAGGCTGTTTCTACTTACAGACAGGGGTTTGGGCAAAGCTTCTCGCTCTCCCGCCCCTGAGCTCCTCTCTTCCTCTTCAGCTCGGTTATTATTCTAAGAAGGGATTCTTTGGATTGTTTTGCTAGTCTGTAAGATGGGAGTGAGGGGGGAGGAGTTTGTGCTCAGGGCGCTGATTAGGGTTTAATTAAGTCTTGCTTTCGGATGGTCTTCCTGGGTGGTGGATTTGGTGCCATGGAGATTTGAAGTTGGAATAAGGAGACTTGAATTCGAATCTAGACTTTGGGCGAGTCTCTTGATTTTTTTCTCTTTCCTTATATGAACAATGGTGGTGTTGCTCAAGTACTTTCCAGCTCTGAATCCTATATCGACTTGATCCCTCTTGAATAGAAGTTAGGTCAGGGAAATAACTTTGGAATCAAGAACTTTAAGACCTGGTTCTGTAAATGCCCAGGTTAGTTTTTAGAACTAAATAAACCGGACTAATAGAAGTCAAAATCCATTAACTCCTTTCTACTCTTGGGGCGCTTACCTCCTGCTCACACCCAGGTCAGCAGAGTACGTGGTGGGGGCAATAGTGGACTCAATTCTCCCCAGAAGAGAAGCAAAAGCGACGAGCTGTGGTTTGTGGTAAAAGAGTTGCTAAATTTTCAAGTTTTATTACTTTGGTGATGATGTAAGTTGAGACTCGCGGAATTGAACCTGGTTCACATCGACCTTCCCTCAAAATCCCGGGGGAAGGGAGTCAAGGAAGCCTTAATCTCGGGCCCCAGCTCTAGAAAGCATATTATGGCTCTGCCTGAGCCACTTTCCTTTGAAAGCTGGGAGTTTGAAGGGGCTATTTTTTATTTGCTCATTTTTAATGGGAGTGAGGGAGGTCTGACTTTGCCTCTCCTCGCTCCTAATCTCACTGGTGAATTTCCCTGGAGGATCCGAGGATGCTGCAGTGAGAGAGGGCCTTCGCTGGGATGCAGCTGACTTGAGTAACCCGTTAATCTTGTAGATCTGCAAATTTGAAAGGGACTTTTTTTCCCTTTGTTGGTTTCCTTTAATCCATTTACCACTCTCCAGGAGGTGACAGATACCTATATTTCCTGTTATTCAGCTCTGGGTCTCAGGTTCTGCCATTTGGTTGGGGGTGGAGAGGGGGAGGAGACTGAAAAATCGTCCTGCTTTCCTCTCCTTTATTTTTTTTCTCTTCCCTCCCTCCGAGATTTGGGAGGAAGGCCGAGTACGTGCTTCACTTCCCGAGTTGGAGGCTTGGTTCTGTCTTTATTGTCTCTTCCCCAACAAGTCTTCGGGAAAGTGTCTGTGTGTCTGTGTGTGTGTGTGGGGGGGGTTTCACAACTCCAATAATTATACCCCATAAATGGGAGACTACGTGGTGTTCTTGGCCGTTGGTCAAGGATCTTAGGAAACTCCGAGGTATCTTCCTTCCTTCGCCTTCTCTATTCTCCCCTCTCCCCACAAAGCCCCAGGCAATTGAGGGAGGTACTGGGTTGATTGTGGGGAAAAAGAATCTTCTTTTTAGAGGTTCATTATTAAGCTAGTAGGAGAAGTGGAAATGTCTTCCTATTCGAAAGATGGTAGAGTTGTCTATGAAAATTTTTTCTCCTTTTTCTTCTTGGTGTTGTTTGATATTAACCTGATAACAGACGGACCACACTTCCTTTTACCCCCTCCCTCCATTACCTGAAAGTTTTAAACGTGGACTAAAACCAACTCTTTCCCTCTTTCCCTCATCTTTCTTATTGCCTAGTCTGCTTACCAAAAAGAGTAACAGAAATAATAACTAACCTTTAACTTTGTTTTCACTAGACGACTACACCGACCACCTTTGATTTAAAAACTTCAGCAGTTATTTGGCATTATTTATCAGTTTTCATATTTATTCAACGAAATATCCAATCAAAATGGAAAACTAAACATTTGGCAGTTCTTCAGGGCTGTTGACTTCGGCCGGGTAACTTTTCTTTCCCCTTTCAGTATCTGTGGAGAAAGTCATCTGAGGCTTGGTACACTATTACCTATAGCTGTTTTTTTACGTGTAATATCTGAACAATGTTTTTGCTGTGTGGAGTTTGGCAACATTTGCTTGTGGCAGAACTTCTTAATTGATTTGCAAAAGCTGAGACTAACAAGAGCAGGCACCAGCTTCTCGTTTTGTTGGGCTTCATGTTTAAGCCTTTTGTTTGTATTGCAGAGATTGGGGGAAGGTTTATCTAGGGACCTAAACCGATATTTAGCAAGAATGATAAAATTGCAAACAAGTAATTTTAATGCTAGAGTAATTTTCAGTAAAATGAAAGCATCTATTTGTGGAGAATAAGTAAGATTGCTGTACTTAAAAAAGATAACATTTATGCAAGTTATGTTCATAATGGGTAACCATTATGCTGTGGAATAATGGTAAAATAACTGGCAAAAATAAAGATTTTTAAACAGTTTCATTTTCTCTTCTTTTTCTTCCTGGACTGATGTTTACTCTCAACTTCTCAGCATACAATATTGTAAGTAATCCTAGTTATACATATTAAACAATATAAGTCAAATGAATAGATGAAGATTGGATAATTTTATTTCATGAAATAATATTTACTCAATTATTAGTATTTTATAACTGGAATACCTTGTATTATATGTTAAACATTAAAAAACACAAAAAAGGAAGTAATGTTCAATATTCTAAAATTCTTATTCTATAGCTCACTCATTCGCTGGAAACTCCTTTCTTTTCTGGGAATAATAGCTACTGCATGGCCATCAGATCCACTAGATGGAATTGTCCCTAGACCATGCTATATTCTAATTAAACTTCAGAAAGAAAGATTTAAGGGCAGATAATCATGTAGTTTCTCACATAGAAATTATAACAGCATACTCATTAAATATTATTTTTCAAGTAAGTCAAAGAAATTCACTGATTTTTAAAAATTATTCTATACCCTTCTATTTTCCACAATGCATTACCTAATCTGGAGAGCTTTTTTTTTTTAATCTTTAATGTGGTACTAGTGACAGTAAAAACAAAGTACCATCAAAGATGAAATAGTCACTTGCTAAAAAATGGCACAGTAATGAATATTCATTTCCCCCAGGTTAACTGATTCCTCCCCCCCAATTTTATTCATAGTCACAGTGATGAACTATACTTATATAAATATACTCATTTATAGAGCTGCTGTGGAGTATTCTTAAATGTGAAGAATAAAATATAATGCTTACATAAGGGATATAAGAGTCATCAAAATCTGGAAACTTGCTTAACATTGTTGAATACAATAAAGACTTGTAATTGTTTATATAGCTCTGGGTCTTCACAAAAAATGCTTGTTTTAAAATTTTATTGATTGAATTTGTAGTGCAAAAATTATACAGGAAAAATTCAAATAGAAATACTGCTTACAGTCTAACTTTTCTACTTCAAAAAAAACCTGCCAATGGTTTATAGAAACATGTTTTGGCACAAATTGGGTCTTTGTGGCTGCCTTGAGATGTGGTAATTAATTTTTGTACACATTTGAATATCTGAATTGCTGAAATTTAGTTTTCATTGTCTTGATTTTTCTAAGATAAGGTTTGTTTTCCAAGAGACATTTGTAATATGTTAAGGGGTTGCATATTTATAGTGAATTAGTTGTCTCTGCTCAGTCTACAATTTTGCTAAGTGAAATTTCAGTCAGCTTTTTTTTGTGTGTGTTCATCAGTGTCTTAACTTTATCAATTAAAAAAATGCTATCATTTAGCTTCTCTTTTCCTATTGTAAAGTGTACAGAAATGCAAATTGGGGGTTAAACCCTAAGTTATTCCTATTTGGTTCACTGTAGGCTTTTAAAATTCATTTCACCCCAGGCCAGGATGTTAATGGCATTTAACTTTGTCTTTGTGTGGAAACTTATTTAATTATTAATTGCAACTAACTTCTTACAACCCTGCAGGCATAAAGTCAAAAGAAATGGATCTTCTGTATACTCTTAAAGACTTTTTCTGACTTAAATATTAGTCTAATTTTTGGTTAAATTAGTCAAATTCACTGAGAAGATTTGTTAATACTGGATTTACACTGGATTCAGAGTTGTCACTGAAAAGAAATTAGTTTGAATTTTTTTTGACATTGTGCTTCATAATCTTTGATTGTAAATAATTTCACTGCCCAGCCAGTGTTTATCATTGGCAGCGACCTTTTCCTATTAATTTTGTTCATCCCCAGTAAACATAATACACACAGTCACTAATCACATGGTTAGTAACTTTGTAGATATATAGGGCTTTGTTTAGTTATAGGAAAGAGGAATCCTTGAAAATACTCTGTAGTTGTTGGGTAAATTTATTATAATCCTATATTTTAAAAAAGTTAGTCCTACTCTTTATTTTCTCTGCTTACTAATTTGTAAAAGGAAGTTGTTATTAGGAAATTTACTGTTTGGGAACAATTGTGATAGCTCTTGGAATCTCATGACATGTGAGTACTTAAAAGCTTGGAAGGCCAGTTAACTCTAGGCCTTTGCAACTTTTCTAGAGTTTGTGTTGTTTGGTAATTTTGGTTATTCCTTTTTATTTGGTCTTTTGGATTTGTAGCTAGTAAAC